TTTCTAAATTAAATGTTAGGTTTCTAATCGGTGCTGTAGAAAACAGAGAAAAATTAGATCCCTGCCTAGCTAGCTTGTCATTCACAGAGCTGGATATGATGATGACAAGTGATTTGGGGAAATGTTTTCCATCACCCACCCCTCCAACAAATGATGCTGAGGTGAGAACAGAAATATGGCTGAAGTGTGGGCAAGATGTTTTAGGACAGAATGGTTTGTTAAGCCTTTCATTCCCCTTCTTGAGCTAATAATGGGCAAAAGCTGGAACAAAAGGGTTAAATGCGAGTTGTTGTGCTCAAATAAACAAATCTATGGGAGATAAAGCAGTTGCCATGCCAGCTGACACCGAAAGCAGCCAGCACAAAGTTGGCATGTAGGAGCTGATCTAAAAGGCTGCACAGAGCACGGAGGCTCATCGTACACAGCCTGCTTCTTGGCTTTCACTTTGCCAGCCCTGTTCCCTTCAAAACAGAAGCAACAATTCCTTACGTTACATTTCTCATCCTCATTGGAGGATAGGGAGAAGGTATCTGCTCTTTCTAAGGCCTAGCAAATGCAAAACAAGGAAAAAGATATGATACATATCAAGATATAGGCATGAAAGTGCCAGGTCTTCACTACTGTGTGTAGCTTTTGGTGAATCCTTGAATTTATTTTATTTTATTTTATTTTATTTTATTTCATTTCGTTTCATTTCATTTCATTTTTCCTATTTTACCTCATATGAAAAGTAGAAATAAGCAATATTTTCTGTTTGATTTCTCTGTTCGGTTTTTGGGACTAGCAGTTCCTCATTCTGGTGCATCTTCTTTAGTGCCTCTAAGTAGTACTGCAAATAACACCTAATTAATAATGACAGCTCAAGCACTAATGGAAAATTTGCCTTACTTCTCAACGAATGAATTTCCTACTCAAGCTGGTCAAATAATAAATAACACTACCTGTCAATGCACTGGACAGCCATCCTTTGTCAAGAATAGCATTAGCTTCCTCAGGAGTTTATTGACTAATGCAGGCAGTTATTGATTTAAAAATGGTTTTCTAAGATATTGTTTAATGGCTACCATTGGCTCTGTCTCTCTGTAGTCTGTATTGTGCTGTTATTTAATTGTATGCGAGGAGCACAGGCCTTGAAGAAAGTCGTGTATATAAGCCTTAAGTTAAAAAACAGGCTAGTAGTCAAAATGCAGCTGAAAATGGTGTTTTACTTATTCTTCAGTTCTGGGAGAGTAATATAATTCATCTAGCCTGCTCTACAATCACCCTCGTGGACTTCGCCTTTTGCATCACTCAGGCCTAATGAACCACTTTCTCATTGTCTGCATCCCAAGAGAGAAGTGTTGTAAGAATTTGTGTGAAAGCTCACCCAGCAAGGTGCCCTATGTTTTTCCCCATTACATTGCTGACAGCGGAGCAAATTTGCTCAGGACTTCTGGAGAAAAAAAAAAGTAGAATTTCAGTGTAGCGTTGAGAAACTCAACCCACAGTCTTCATACAGCTCCAGATCGACAAGCTCAAGGAGGCTGTGGATGCCCCATCCCTGGAGGCATTTAAGGCCAGGCTGGATGTGACTCTGGGCAGCCTGGTCTGCTGGTTGGTCACCCTGCACATAGCAGGGGGTTGAAGCCAGATGAATATCGTGCTCCTTTGCAACCCAGGCCATTCTATGATTCTGTGATTCTGTGTTAAATGTTAAGCACAGAAATGTTCCAAATAAAGCCTATTACACTCTTCATACCTGTGAGTAGCCATAGCCATTGGTATGGTCGTGTGAACAGTCATATTCTGGTGGTGGGTGATTCAATGCACAGTGTCAGAGAGAAAGGCAGGGCCAGCACACGTAAATCTGAAGCCCCGTGATGGCTGTATGCTCCTTCACTGCATGGTTATTATGCATATATACACATATAAGCACATACTATTTTATATATGTGCATGTTATCTCACCACTCATTAGGTAGACTTTGACTTTTCACCGTAATTCAGACCATAATGTTCAATGTAAATCTAATTGACGTTCCAGTGGCGCAACTTATTAGTGAGAATTAGTTTGATGGATCAAGCTTGAAAGCCTTTGTAATAAAAGGCTGTACTGGAACATTCCTCAGTGCATTAGCAAGGACTCAGATGTAGACAAATACGTTAATAAATGGCAAGCTTGCTCCTACAGCAGTCAGAAAGTGAACATCATTGAAAATGTGAATCCCTTCATGTTGCCCAAACACAGTTAAAATGCAATAACAATCCGGCTGTAGACAAAACGGTTAATATAAAAAGCCTCTTAATTTCAAAAAGCTACGTTAACATAATGTTCCATTGGTACTGAGGTCATGATAGTAAAAATGAATTCAAATTGGGTATTCTACCATCACTGCAGCCAAGTGTGGCCTGTATTAAGAGTCAAATAACAGCAGGTTTTATGGCCTCCTTTTTAGGTTACTGGAAAGAGCAAACAAACAAAACCCAACAACAACACACTTAAAGCACTTATAATTCATTTTTATCTATCTATCTATTTATCTATTCATCCATCTGACCATCTATCTATCTATCTATCCATCCATCCACCCATCCAACCATCCATCTATCTATCCATCCATCCATCCAACCATCCATCCACATCCAACCATCCATCATCTATCTATCATCTATCTATCTATCTATCTATCTATCTATCTATCTATCTATCTATGAATCTATCTATCTGTCTGTCTATCTATCTATCCATCCATCCATCCACCCAACCATCCATCCACATCCAACCATCCATCCATCCATCTATCCATCTATCTATCTATCTAGTCAGAGCCATCAGTATAACGTGCCAAGATACCAGGAATACTGGGCTTCAATCTGCTTAACAACGCTCCTCTAACAAGAACATTGTAAAACTTGTAGCATCACATCATAGTTTTTAAGTCACTCTGCGGCACTGGCAAACTACAATCACATTTTTCTGAGTCAGAGGATTGTTTGGAAAATTTTTTTTTGCAGCTTTTTCTTAACCTTCTTCTACAGGTCATCAGAGGAGCCAGGATTTTAGGTGAGGTGACCTCCTCCAAGGAACAAATTCCATTATGAGCTATTAACTTGAGTGGCATTAAAGGATAGACATGGACAGTGATCCAGGAACAGTGTCTTGCATTTTGATACTTCACCCAGTAAAACCACAGGCAAAAATTCCCAGGGGATATCCTGAAGCTGGCCATCTCCATTCAGATTTTAGTAAAATAGACATATGGCTGAGTCAGTCATTCTTAATAAATCTCGTATTTGGTTGGCTCAGGAGAGACGTAGCTCTGTCCAAATATTCTGCAGAGGTATCCCTGCTGTTCTGCCCAAAATCTTGAGCAGAGTCGTGGTTTGTCTGCAACATCTGGTGCTTCAGTGCCATGCAGCAGGTTAAATGAGCTTTGCTGAAAAATGCACTGCTGACTTATCTTCAGTATTCGTAGTATTTGAAAACATCCAAGAAATCTCATATATATGGCATCTGGAAAGCTGCTGGAGTTGGGCAGAACAGCCAACAGACAAAGGTGTCATCACAGCATTGGGGATTAACCCTTCCGTGTAATGAGCTGTAGGATGTGTAGGTTTGCTGAAGGTTGATGCTGAATACATCCTTTCAGAGACGCATTACAGCCTACTGAAAGGGGGGATGCCAGAAAAGAAGAGGCCTTAGCAAAAGCTTTATCTTTGTTTTCTAGACTCCAGCATCATCTTCACACTAAGCCCTTTTATTTCCAGCTTAGATCTAAAAGTATCTCTGATTTATTCTAAAGCGCGGAGAGAAATCAACGGATTCAAAATTGATTGTGGCTTTGTAAAGGAGTAAAATATAAAATGCACTTCAGGCTGTGCAGGAAGGAGTCCCTTTTCTATGTATTTTTTTTTCCCTTGGATGCTGTCTTTCTCCTTTTCAGACCTAATTTTGTATAGAATTTCACTTTTCAATGGAAAGCCACTTGCACAAATAGGAAAGGTGTTTGCAGTCCATGCTTAAGAAATAACTGCGTGTTTGGGGTTAAAGAACAAGCTGAAGCTCAGCAGTTATTCTAAGGGGGGTACAGTGCTAAGCTATGTTATATATTTAACCCGATGTGGAAGCCTTTGAATGGCTGACAAGGATTTTTCTCTGGTCCTGTTTGATCTGTGGGTGTCTTTTAGAGCTCCTGCAGGCAGCTTTGAGTCTCACTGCATGCGATGCAGCAGCACCACACAGCGGCACAGGGCAGCTCTTCTGCACTCAGCCTGCAGCATCCACCCAGCCCAAACCCACCAGGAATAAGGAAAATCTGACCGGTGCAATTGGGGTTAAGCACACATCAGGCTGGGTGGGAGATTGCTTTGGGGTAATATCAGCTTTTCACAAGAAAAAGCATGAAAAAAGGAAATGTAAACCCGAACTTGTAAGATTCCCTGTTCTGATGTTTGTGTTTCTAATATGCAGATCATGGATTTTGACACATTGTCTTGGAAATATGTGGCCTATTCTTATTTCAGGACCTTTCTCCCTATAAAAAAAAAAATAGAAACAACAAACAGGTCATGAATTAAAAAAAACTTAATAATGCAGTGTGATGGACCATCTTCTGAAAACCACTTTCTAGCTGTAAACATAGATTACTTGACTTGAAAAACAAACAAAATTCTTCTGCAGTTCTTTGCTAGGATGAGAGGGAATGGCCTCAAGTTGCGCCAGAGGAGATTCAGGTTGGATATTAGGAGGAATTTCTTCTCAGAAGGAGTGGTGATGCATTGGCACAGGTTGCAAAGGGAGGTGATGGGGTCATCGTCCATGGAGGTTTTTAAGGAAAGAGTAGATGTGGTAATAAGGGACATGGTTTAGTGGGCAGTGTTGGTGATAGGTAGATGGTTGGACTGGAAGGTCTTGGAGGTCTTCTCCAACCTTTATGATCTATAGGCTTTTCTACATCCATTCCTCTTGAGGCAGCAAAGCCTCAAAATCAAATTAATTGTTTTTCTTCTTCTCATTTCAGGTTTGGAAGTAGACAACTTGGGGCAAACTCATGCAGGTAAGGACCAGTGGTGCTGATTACCTCCTACACACCTCTGTTCTCATAAACCATCTATATAGGACATGATAATCTCGGATTACTGAAGACTTATTCTGCGTAGCAATTATTGTGATAATGAATACATGTAGCTCTCTGTAACACTGAGATAGAAAAATGAAGTAAAAATTTGATATTTTTTAGAATTCGCTGTCATCTTAGCCCAGAAACACAAAATTAAAACTAATTATCATTTGATGGATGGAAATCATTTTTCATGAATTTTGTCCGTACTTCAATATCTATGGATTTCTAAGAATTCCTAGAAATGTAATGCTTAACCTTTGTATTTTTTTAAATAAAATTTTTCCCAGTTCGATTTACTGTCTTTTTTAGCCATGTGCTCACTGCTTTCAGTAGCAATTTCTAAATTTTATTGCTTCAATCTTGATTTAAACTTACATGTAAACCAATGTTTACTTCCTCAAAAGACAGAATTAAGAATTTTTTGCCTTTGGACCCAAACAAATAAAAATCAAATGGATTCTATTCACTGACTTCCACAGAGACCAGTTGGGGTCCTCATAGAAAATGCATACAATTTCATACCTATACTGGATTTCCACTTTTATAGGTGATTATGACCTGCTGGAAAGCACAGCTGAGACTCCCCTAGGTAAGCAGCAGAACCATGGAATGTTTCTCTCTTTTATTTTAGCTCTCTTAAAAAGGAAGCTCCAAGCTTTCTCTCCTGCCACTTAGGTATTATTTTCTAATCAGTTCTAGGTATTATTTTCTAATCAGTTCTAATGATGATGACACATTTTCTTGATCTTACATTTTAACAGTATTATGAAAATGTATTCATCCATTATTGAGTCTTGTGCTCCAGCGAGAAAATTGGTATAAATTATATCTACCTGCTGAACAATAGTTTAACTAAACAGTGTTGAGGAAACTCAACACCATGATTCAGTGGTTATTCTCCATGAAGAACTGGGGATGAATGTGAAGGATTAATTTACCAAAATTTGCCAGGTAATGCAATGTAAAACGATTGCAGTGATTAAGTCAGTGTATTCTGCCACGTGGATGGCAAACGTTCTCTAAAAAGAAGGTCACCATTAGTGTCATAAGCTAATTGACTAAATTGCTCTAAGAATGTGAGATAGCATAATCTTGGCATTAAAAAAAAACAAAAAAACACCAAACAAATACATGAAGAAACAAAAAAGTTTCTCATTTCCATCAATTCACGTCATAGTACTGCTTAGACTAAAAAAATAAAAAATAGAGAAGTAATAGCTGAATAAATGAAAACTGTTCTTTTGTTTTGGAGAGGAATAAGTGCAGCCAGAAGCCCAGCTCTAAGTTTTTTACCTGGTCAGTGAGCTCTGACTAAAGTAATGGTGCTTTAAGAGTGCAATGAGGAGACATCCCACCAGTATCAAAGAGAATATCAGGAGATGCTATCCTCTTCTACAGCCAGCTCCTGCTTCCAATGCAGTTTGAAGCATTTTGGCAGTACTGGTGGATGCCATTTAGGAGTGCAAATGTTGACATTGAAGCTGCATTTCCACTCTGCCTTTTGGAGTCAATGGAGAGACATGGACATTCAGCTGACTCTGTTTTTTGTATCTACTTCAGAATGTGTTCTTTGGTGCCCTGACTGTGCTGGTTAGATCTTTTTTGCTCTTTGGTGACCAACTGGAAGTAAACATCTGTAGTGCCTAGCATAGAACTGGGTCGTTAAAGATGTCATTAAAGATTAAAGGCTTTGTTAAAGCCTTTTTTGGGTACTCTAATAGTACTCCCACTGGTACTGTGGAGTTGTCTCAAGGGGATAGAGGGTATATCCTTGGGTTTGCTTCAGCAGTGTGACATTCCCAATTGTACCTGTTGCACTTGACGTAGGGGACATCAGCAGAAATTGCACTGAAGATGGCTGGTCTGAACCTTTTCCTCATTATTATGATGCCTGTGGCTTTGATGAAAATGAAACAGAGTCAGACAACCAGGTGGGTGGTGTTCTTATAATATAAAAGAAGTGGGAGTTGGGGGAAGCTTCCTTTTGTCATGTTCTGATTATCAGATATTTATGGGCATAAATACATGAGAAATAAGACTTGTATCCTTCTTAGCTCAGTTTATGTTTTCGGAATATGAATGTTTGCTGTTGATACAGCTTGTAATGTTTAGAAGCGTGAGTTTAGCCCCTTTTCATCCCCTATTGACAAAAGAATTCCTTAGCAAACTAGTATTTTTTTCTACACGTAGTGGTCACAGAACTATAGACAGCTTTTGCTAGCTCACTGACACATAAACTTCACAGCGTTCAAAGCCAAGGGTATGCCAACCAGAAGGCAGTGCTCTGATACGCACTGAGATACCGGATTGAGAAATATCCATTGAGAAACAGATCCTGCTGGTTGACACAGTGAGGAAGAAGTGACCACAGCTGAACCGTTTAACCATGTGATGTTTGTCTTCCAAGGATTACTACTATCTATCCGTGAAGGCGCTGTACACAGTTGGATACAGCACGTCTCTCGTTTCCCTCACCACTGCCATGGTGATCCTGTGTCGTTTCAGGTGAGTTGGGACAAGAGCAGTGCAAGTGGCTCCACCACTGCTGAAAATAGGCTGGAGCTTATTGACTCCAAACAACATTTCAGCTTTTATATCATAGGTTATACGATAAATGGGAAGCAGCCCTTCGGTTGTCAGGTTGTTCCCCTTGTTGGACCCACTATGGTTGTAATATTTCAGTAGACTCTAGATGCTGTTGCAACAACTCTCTCCATTGGACTGGCTCTATTTTATGCTAATTTGCATAGTTTTGCAGGAAAATCCTCCTCTTGGTTGTGTTTAGGGTCATTATTATCCACACTCCTGCCCTTCAGATGTCTGTTCTTAGTACCCAGGTACTTGGAGTTCTGACCATAGGTGTAGATATGCTATTTCCACAAAAAGAAAAGAAGATATATTTTTATTCTCCACCACTGATTTCCCTTTCTTTTATTCCTTCCTCTCTAGGAAGCTTCACTGCACTCGGAACTTTATCCACATGAACCTCTTTGTTTCATTCATCCTACGTGCAATATCAGTATTCATTAAAGATGGAGTTCTTTATGCTGAGCAAGATGGCAACCACTGTTTTATCTCCACTGTAAGTAAGACTAAAATCAAGCCCTTTTCCCTTTATTTTTTTTTTCCAGTATGAAATAACAAAACAATTGTGAGGCAGGCAGCAGTCTGTTGAGTATCAGAGGCTGAGGAGCTATTGGGAGGGAAGGCAATTGGTGGTAAACTTCCCTCCCAGTTCACAATAAAACTGTGAATGGGATAGTCCCACATAAACAGCACTGTGCATTAGCACAAATCTACAAATTTCATTTTCTGACTTTGTTTCTCCTGGTCATGAATCTATGTAGTGATAAATGGGAAGAGAGCAGAGATGGTTTCCTTCATCTGGAGACTGGATTTTCTCCAGAGCCTTATTTGCTCTGGATGTTAGGAAGAGTCACTTGTAAGGCATGTGAACATCCAGACACAAGAAAGTAGCCCTGAAAGTCACATTAAGAAAAGATCGTTAATATTAAAATTGTTAATATTAGCTATGTGCTTGTCTCTGGAGTTGTTCAGTGTGTGGTTTCATGAAGAGCAGTCTCTTTCACCAGTGCACTTATCTATATTTTACATGTGAATCCAAACTCCTTTCACATTTAAGGGTAATATTGCTTTGATGCTAACTCATCTGGTGTAGTGATGATGGAATTATACTGAGTTCCCAAACTGAAATGTCCTTCATCCACCCATTTGTAATATAAATTCTCTGAGTCACTTCCACAAGAAAATCACACCTGTAGTTTCTTAGCCTCTTCATCATTAAAACTAGTTCCTGCTTTAAATTCTTCTCTGTATAAAATCTGAAACCATATTAGATCTGCACTTTGTTCATAAGTCTCTTTTTTAAATGCCATCTGCTTCTTTGTCCTAACACACTCCAAATATAAAACATCTTACAATGAGAGCTCTGATGGCCACATCTTCAGCTGGCACAAACTGGTAGAGCTTCTATAAAGGAGCTCTTGTTTTTCTAGTTTAGACATATTGGTTTCAGATTTGCCCTGGAGAATGGGATGGGAGGGGATGGGATGGGATGGGATGGGATGGCAGTTTGGAACCAGTCTGAACTGACAGCCTCCACTGTTCCAGACAGGAGCTCCCAATTTATATACTAATTTTACTGTGAGTATTTGAAAAGTCACTTTGGTAAGTCTAATGATGTCTCACTGGTATGAAACTGTCAAGATCAGTGTGTCCTACACTCACAGAGCCAGGTCAGAGCTCAGTTTCCACTTAAGGCCTTGCCATTTTTTTTCCCTTTTTTTTTTTTGCCCATTATTTTTTTTCCCCCCCAGTGAATGAATGAAAGTTTCTATCATTTTGCACAGCCAGCTGCTCTCCTTTCTTTACACTTACGTGAACATTTCCATTATCTTTCCCTGATGACCATGCCAGAAAGTGCAGTTCTCAAATGTGCACACAGGAAGATGCATCCGTTCTGATCCTTCTCAGGGCTTCCCACATTCCTCCTTCCTTTTCACCACCTTCCTTTGGTTCCTTAGCATACAACTGGATTCTTTTCTTGTCTGCACTTAATACTTGGGAGGGAGCTCCAATCTGGCAACTAAAGTCCATTGCCAGCGCAAACTCCCAACTTATGTAAGAGGTTCCCAGGCTGTCTGCTGGCCACCTCCCACTGGTAAAATTGGCCACCTACCCTTCACAGCTTTTTCCTCTAAGTGGCCCTTGACATTCCTTTCAGGATTGTAAAACTTTACTGTTAAAAGTGTGTAACAGTAGTTACACACTGTGTTCTTTTCCGCTAATGGATTTGGAGAGGTTGATTTTCTCTGCTAATCTCAGGCAAAACGGCGTGAAAATAACATTTTTTTTTTTTCCTTTGGTTCTCTGCAGGTGGAATGCAAAGCAGTGATGGTGTTTTTTCACTACTGTGTCATGTCCAACTACTTCTGGCTTTTTATTGAGGGGCTGTACCTTTTCACATTACTGGTAGAAACCTTCTTCCCAGAGAGGAGGTATTTCTACTGGTACACCATTATTGGCTGGGGTAGGTGATATTCCTTGTGTATAACCTATCTCTTTATCCTGAAGGCGGGCATGTGAATGAACCATCTAATATTCCTGTATGCAGATCCAAAGTGCAGGTTAAGTCTTTGTTTAGCAAAGCCAAACCGTGCTGTGCTTTTTTAGATAGACTTGGATTGAAACGTGGAGGACACCACATCCCTTGCAGATGTTTAGTCCACAGTTCAGAACTGCTTTCTGCAAGATATGAACTTAATACCAAGTTCTCCAGCTTAATCAAGGCTGAAATCAAGTCTTGTCCATTCTCTAAGACTTCCTTTGTGCCTTTCTCCCACCCAGTAGAGAAATTGAAAGCACGTTCATAGGGTACCCACATATGCCCCTCATACCTGGGTGGCAAATGGAAACTTGCAGTGTTGGGAAAAGCTAAGATTTGTTTCAGAAGATCGATTGTAAGGTGATAACTGGGCAATTACTTTTAATGGTGGTTTCCTGGAGCTAAATTGATTCTGGTAGCATGTTAATGCAAACTGTAGTTTGCAGAAAAATCCATTCATTTTAAAGATGCCTGAAGAAGGTTGAACTCCTTTTTTGTTTTATACAATGCTGTTTCTGTCATTACCTTGGAAAAAAAAAAAACCAACAACACAAATTCATGCATAAAATCTGCATACAACCCATGTACCTTAAAGGGTTTTCTTTTGAATAGGAATCCCATGCTATGTGGACTTCCAAGTGGTCTGCAGCTTGTTAGCATTTTGCTTTGACATTGCTTAGATTTTTTTTTGTTTGGTTAATGTTTCATTGTTTTTTTCCTCTTGAGGCACTGTGCCTACCCAAAAATTCCCAGCTCCTGGCAAAGACTCCCTGCAATGGGGGCAAAGGGATGGAGAAGAGAGAACAAATAATCAGAAATAGCACACCAAGGCTGGGAAATTACTGATGAAGGGTTTTCAAAGTTCCTTTGTGCTCTGCACAGATGTTTGATTACACTACTGCTGAAATATAAGGTTGTTCTCCTAGAGAACTTGGGGATGAATACACAAAAATATGATAATTTAAAAAGAAAATGTATATCTTTGCAAGACAGATACATATCGGTGGTTGAGTTACTTTAGCTGAGTCTGCACAAATTTCTTGTCTGTCAGGGCATCTGGATGTGAGCATATTGCAACACAGCGTCTTGACTGACAGGGAAAATCATGATCTGTAAAAAAGAGCTATCCAGATGGACTCATTCTTTCATGCAGCCTCAAAATTTACACTCATGTTGAATACTGTAACTAAGGTCTAGCTGTTCAGTTTATAGATGCCACTTCATATTCAAAGCAATATCGAATGACAACCATTAATAATACTAAGAGAACCTCCCAGCATGGGCTGTTCTATTATTTTCAAGTACAGTATTTTGTTATTTCCTGAATATCTCAAGTTGGGTAATGGTTCCCCAGACACGGAAGGATCAATTGATGCTTTGCAAGAACAGAAGCTCCTCCAGACTCTGGATTCATGTTTTGAACCCTTGTAGGATAAAAAAAAGCCCCCTGGCTTATAGCTGCTAGGAAAGTGGTTGCATTGAAGCAGCAGTAGGCAGCAGCTCAGCGTTTTGCAGCATCTGGATGTTTATCTGTTTCTCAAAATGTGCTGAGCTCGTCAGTGTCTGTGTGTAATTAATGAGAACTACATACGGTTGCATTGATCCAGTTTTGCCCTCTTAAATATGCGAGGTGCTGGTAAGCACACTGGGTAGTTTGCTGGATGGAGAGGGCTGGGCAGGCAGAAGATTCCTCTGGAGATCCCTCCTAATGCTCCTTATTGAAGGCAGAAATGCAGTCAGCAAGAACAGCTCTTTCCTGCAGCCCTTCGAGTTTCTCTGTTTTCAGATATTACTTAGAAGACGAAAAGGTTATGATGACTGTATATGTCTCTTGGATTAAAGAAGAGTCAGTGTGTGTGTATTCATACAGCAGATAGTTCAAAGTCTCAAATATGTTTTTTTAAAGAATATTTTTTGGAGACCTTGAGTGTAATTCTGCTGTCCTGTCTGTGTTCAGAGTTGGAAATCAACTTCTGCCAGCAAAAAGTCTGTACTGCAAATAGTTATGCACTATGTAGCATGTCAGGCTCGTGCCTGATATTTTTTATTACTATTATGCATCTGGGTGCACAAAGACCTTAATGTTTTCTAGGTATTCTCATGTGAGAAAAGCAGGCATCAATTTAAATTACAACACGCATCATTTCTTCAATCCAAAGCCAATCATTTCATTTCTTCTCATCGTTTTCTTTTCAAATATTTCTGTGTACACTTTGTGACAGAAGGAAGGCTCCATCCATCACCGAGGTCTAACAGGGATATTTTTATGTCTGAGAGTGGGAATATGAGATTTGACAAAGGCTCACTTAAGCGGATCTAGCTGAATGACTAATTAACATGACATCAATGCAGCTTTGCAGAACGTATAAAGCGTAATTGTTCCTGTCAACTCATGACAGCCTCGTTCACTGCTGCGTGCTGGAGTTACCAAGGTCTTTTGCTGTGTTTGCTTTTCGGTGCTTTATCTTTCCACTGGTACCTCAATAAATGACCACTTTTCAGTGGTACCTCAATGAATGACTTCTTTCCAGTGGTACCTCAATGAATGACCACTTTCCAGTGGTACCTCAATAAATGACCACTTTCCAATGGTACCTCAATAAGTGACTATTTTTCAGTGGTATCTCAATGAATGACCACTTTCCAGTGGTACCTTAATAAATGACCACTTTCCAATGGCACCTCAGTAGATGCAGACATTTTCCCAGTCAATGATTTTCTTTGCTATAAAAGAGAGAAACAACTTACCCAGAGTTTTCCTGCAAGAAAGCATTCACTTTTAAAAATATTTCCACTGAATAAACATCGTTTTTGTACTTTCAGATGGAAAAATGAATACAGGCTTCTCAGTGGATTTTTGGTTTAATTTGTATTTTAATGTATTTTTTAAAGATGAGAGAAATCTCAGAAGTAGAAGGGAAATGTTCTTGTTCCCAGGGTTTGGGTTTGTTTTGCTTTGGTGTTTTTTTTTTTTTAATCGTTTGTTCTTAGTTTTGTTGTTGTTTTCTTTAATTCTTATTCAGGAAGAAAAAAGAAGTAAAATTCCTGTGAATGAGAGAAAACTACTCTCTACTGATTTCTATTGGTTGAAAGTAAAGCAAAAGTTTCTTATAATAGCAGGGAAAACGCAACATATGCAGCTCATTTAGAGCAAAAGCACACAGGAATACGAAGAGTACAATAATGCCATTACAGCATCTGCCACTCTGCAATCATTGCAGGGTTATAGGAGCTCTAGACACAGAAGCTGATGTCTCTGCTTTTGTTTTGCACAGGCTACATTTTATCGTTCAAGCATCAAAATGCAAGACGTGAGCTTTGAGCAGTAATGATCTGAAACAGCATTTCTATTTTCTATTTCTATTTCTTTGCTATTACTGACTTTATTACCATCAAGGCTCACCTGTTCTCTGACTGAGGTAGATGTTTCTAGAGCTCTGAATGACTGCAGTGGGTTGTGTTGTTTGGTGCATGAGTGCTCTCAGGGAATAAAAGCTTAGTGGAGGAGCTGCTAAGAAGTGCTCTCTGTGGGTACTGACTATTTCTAGACTGATAATGACTTGTCTTGTCTATTGCAGGCACCCCGACAATTTGTGTCACTGTCTGGGCAGTGCTGAGGCTTCACTTTGATGATACTGGGTATGTATCATGATGTGAGAACACGTTTCAGGACAGTGACAAAGGGGAAATAGAAATCTAGTGGTCAAAGCACACACAAATGAAAAAAGCTGAGTGGTTGACATGCACCACTCTGGGGAAGGGATGCTATCCAGACAGGCTGGTGAGGTGGACCCATGGCAACATCATGAAGTTCAACAAGGCCAAGTGCAAAGTCCTGCATCTGGGTCAGAGCAATCCCAAGCACAGATACTGGTTTGGTGGAGAATGGCTTGAGAGCAGCCCTGAGGAGAAGGATTTGGGAGAGATTGTTGATGAAAAATTTACATGAGCGAGCAGTATGTGCTTGCAGCCCAGAAAGTCAACTGTAGGCTGGGTTGAAGTGTGACCAGCAGGTCAAGGGAGGTGATTCTGCCCTTCTACTCTGCTCTCATGAGACCCCACCTGGAGTACTGCATCCAGTTCTGGAGCCCCCAACACAAGAAGGATATGGAGCTGTTGGAGCAGGTCCAGAGGAGGGTCACAAAGATGCTCAGAGGGCTGGAGCACCTCTCCTGCAGGGATAAGGTGAGGGAGATGGGACTCTTCAGCCTGGAGAAGAGAAGGCTGTGAGGAGAGCTTCCAGTACCTGAAGGGGCCTAAAGGAACCAACTTTTCATAGGAAAGTATGGTGACAGGACAAGGGAAAGTGGTCTAAAACTGGAAGATCGTAGATTTAAACTAGATATTAGCAAGAAATTCTTTACTGTGAGGATGGTGAGACACTGGAGCAGGTTGCCCAGTGAGGCTGTTGATGTCCCCTCCTTGGAAGCATTCAATTTGCAGGAGGAATTGCTGAGCTCCAGTTTTCGAAAGGAATTCACAGAATCACCAAGGTTGGGAAAGACCTTCAAGATCATCCAGTCCAACCATCCACCTATCATCAATAGTTCTCACTAAACCATGTCCCTCAACACAAAATCCAACCAAGTGAGGGTTTTATCTTCCCCTCAAGAATTTTTTCACAAATCTAATTGTTGAGATGAGTAGGAGTGAGGCAGAAACCCACATTTAGTCTTTTGCATTAAAAATAAATAAATTAAATTTAGGAAATGCAGTAACTTAAGAAAGAACTTAAAAGGATAGATTCGACCTGAATGGTATATTTTGTTGGGGAAAAATCTACAAAGATCTTGGCATTCTTTGCTAAATAACCCGAAAGAAGATCAGCTCACAGAGATGGTCATGTCCATGCAGGTAGCCATTAGACTGACTGGTATACAGAGCAGCAGGCATATCTGGTAGGAAGGTGTTAACCCTAAAAATACCAAAGGATCCATGTTTCTTTTCATGACAGCTGTGTTTGAAATTGGTCACACTGTAGGAAAAATGCTGGTGAGTTAGGGATTCTGAGCAACAATTGGAAAATCCAGTCACGGTCCTTTGAAAACCTCAATCTATGTGAATGATGTCATTACGTGCCAAAGTCCCATCTGCAGTAGATTTAGGCTCATATTTAAAGTTCTTCTTTTATTAGAGATACTTGGAACCAAAATTTGCACAATGCTCGCTGTTCTTTTTCATCCTTGTCCTATCTTGCTCTTTTTGGAAAACACATAAGACCCTTCCTGCACTGGGGATACCAGTGCTTTGTCCCAGTGTTCTCTTTTGACATCAGGACAAATCAGATTGTTTATTTCCTTGAAAAACAAGCCAGAAGCCCCCATTGTGTCATTATTATGATTATAACAGAAATCCTAGATGCATTAATTTCCTTCAGAGCTCAGCAGTCCTTGTGTTTTGCTTATAGGGGGAGTACCTCACATAAGGAAAGGAAGAAAAAGAGCAAAAAACACCCCTTCCTCTCTTAGTTACAGAAGCTGTTTAGCATGCAGCACGTCGAGTCAGATGCTAGCTGAGTGTCTCAGTGGTTACTTTTTAAAAATCAGCAAGCATTGTTCTGGAGGTGGGGGAAAAGCCAGCACGAGCCTGGAAACATTGCAGAAATTAGTGAACTGGGAAAGCACAGTGAGAAAGGCATGGACTGAAATACAGGCTCAGAGTTTCCTCCTGCTTGCTCCTTATGAAACTGGCAGAGTTCCCTTGATTTCAGCTTGTGATTCACATCATTGTAAGCGACAAGTCTGTGCAGATAAATGCAACTGTCTGTTTATCCAGAGCAGTGCTACTGAATTAAATGGAGTCATTCCAGATGTACACCAGGGATGTAACACAGATGAGATTCTGGCCTTTCCGAATGGAAACCACATCCCTCTCTCATCTCATTGGCTCTCTTTCTGTCATCCATCCTGAAAAGCAGTCCTCTGATCTTCACTATAGCAGTGCATTCGTAATGACATTTTCCTTTTGGTGATTCTCATCAGAAGATGGTGTTTTTTTCCACCACATCCATCTTATCGATGTCACATGGGCTGGACCAAAAATTTTGTAATAAAACCCTTGTGTAAGCATAAGCAGGTTCTCTGTTGACATCTACAACGTAGATGTTGACAACTTAGTTTGTCATGTAGACTCATCCTGTGGAAGAGTCTGTTTAGAGAAGAAAAGGTATTCCTAGGAGAAAATATATCACTATAGAGTACTCATTTAAAACACTGCAGTAGAAAAGAAAAGAAGAAAAAATACCCACCCTCCAAGTGCCTGCTTGTCTCAGCTGGAGTCTAAGCTAATCAGCTGGACTGGAGATATCTTCAAGAGATGACTAAAACAAGAACAGCTGAGTCCATCTTCTATAATTCCACATTTCTGAGACAAATTGACATATATTAATGCCTAGTTATATGAACAGAATATCAGAATTTGCCCAGATTCTTCCAGAATTGTTTGACTTGCTAAAAATTTTCAGGTTGCATGAATATACATCCTGGAGACGCTGAGATTTGCAAATAGTGAGAAGCAACCTGACCTAGAAATGCATGCAAAGAGTTTCAAAAGTAGTTACTGAATGTAGGTACTTTTATTCTATGGAATACAACTGTTGATAGCAGAAAGTGTCTTATTTCAGATATATGGAAGGATTGTCATTTCCAGACTGTGGGTTCCCTCTGAACACCAGTCCCCTTTCAGACACTTAAGTGGGACATCAAAAGTGAGATAACTTAGAAATGCTGCTTTGAAAATCTCAACCATCAGTCCCATAGATTTTAGGGAGATTTTAAGCTTTTGGTCTTTGGGCAGAGAGAAAAGTATGTAATTTTGTGCAAATGAAACATCCCATCTCTACATTTGCTTTCTTCTCCCCTGCTCTATCAAATGTGTAGACCTAAAACAAACCTATTTTGTTTGTTTTTTGAGAATCTAGAAATGTTGCATTTGTCAATTCAACTGAAACTTCTAAACCAGACATAGCTCAGCTCTTGGACTTTCTCTCACTTTAACTTAGATGATGGAATTTGAGCTCTGCTGCCTCATACTTAAAGCTGTGTATAGTTTTGTTTGAAGTAGAGGTTTTCACTTCCCCCTCCACATACCACCATTTGAATGACACAAAAGTTGTGTGAAGCTCTTGTAGGATCAGCACTGTTTTATTCTAAATGGTTTCTTGGCATCTGACAAATGTACCATGACAACCACTGCTGGGACTTTTGGCTGTTGTCCCAGTGGGAGGGAAAGAAACTCAGGTACAAAAAAGGCATTTTTCTGTGTTTTTATGTTTTCCAGAAAGGAAACAGGAGAGGAACAAAGCGGAGACAAAGAAAATATGTTTTTTAACTGGCAATCAAAATTTTAATGACTTAAAGTAGTGCAGTGGGGGTGGTGTGATGTGGCAGGGGAAATAACATTTCTTGTTTCATTATTATTGCTTTTCTAGCTTTAAAATATAGTTTTAAACCCATGTATATGTGGGTCCTGTATTTAATTTACTCCACAGGTAAATATCCAAATGCACGTAGGTGGAATAAACTTAAGTATAATCCTTCAGTGAATTTGGAGTGTTGTCCATATGGAGGTAGAAATGCCATATGATTTAGGAGCACTCCAAACAGCTTAAAAAAGGAGATGACAGCAACTATTGCCTACAGCTTGAAGCTCCTCAGGTGAATCATTGCTCCTTGGTAGGATGGCACCTGAATGACTGGAAAACCATTCCTGGATGTGTATATGACTAGTGCTTGGTACATCTTGGTGTGCTAGACGTGTCAGAATCCTCAGATCGGGGTCAGGAACATTTGTGTCCATTAACCCTGGACCTTTTTTGTCTGCTAACCCTTTATTCTGTCTACAGAGATGTTGACCCAAATAGGTAATCTTAGAATTTTATGGTTGGTGGACACAGGAATAAACACAGAGGCATTTTCCAAAATGTCTGAACTATTTTGTAACCTCTTACAATTGGAATTGCAAAAAAAACAATAACACTATTTACTCTATTTCAAATGAGTTGGGTAAAAGCTCTAAAAGAAAGCTTTAACAGGGACAGTCTATGAAACCTTTGAAACTAAATGAAGTAATTTAGCTACAAAGCCAATATCCTACTCTCTGCCTCCTTAAAAATCTTTGTGAGCTTATTTACTTCCATGTTATGTCTTAATCTCTTTATTTCCTTCTCTTTCCCCACCCCATTCCACCATCGCTGACCGTAGCTGCTGGGACATGAATGACAACACAGCCTTGTGGTGGGTGATCAAGGGTCCTGTGGTTGGGTCAATCATGGTAAGTAACACTTGGAGGAGGCTGGCTGCTCCAGGTAGTAAATTAAATTGTGCACCAAATATATGTGGTTTGTGGCACTTAATGAGTTGTTTAGCTTACTGGACATTGGTACCTGCTTTTGGGCATGCTGAGTTCCTACCCATACTACAGTGACAGTGTCAGCAAGGTCTCCGTTGACTGTTGTGGGAATATAAACAGACAGATGTCTACATCAGGTGCAGTGCTTCTCTTTTTAACAATTTGGACAACTATCTAAAGCACAGTAACCTTCAGACACATTCACTGTAACTGAACTAATAATACTGGGCATCTCCAAGCACTTGTAATCTTCATGTAGAAAAGTAGATAGAAAATTATACTGAAAGAGATGTTCAAGCAAGCAACATAAAACCTTAAATTTCCTGTTTTTTTTCTGGCCTTAAGAAGCTGGTTGGTGACAACCAAATCTGAATTGAAAGTTATAACTATAATTATTACAGTGTGAACCTGTGAGAAAGAAGATGCTCAGGATGAGGTGGAAAAAGAAAACCAAACAGATATGAAGAAAAACATCAAAAAAAAAAAGACATTAGATGTCATCTCATTGTGGAACAGATTCAGCCAAGTTGAGAGAAAATAACAGAAGTCAGGAGTTTCAAGAAAGGGCTGACAGAAAGTCTCATCTCAAACCTGGAAAAGCGAATCGTGGTCATCGTAATGTCCTTTCTTTTTCCCCCAGATAAACTTTGTGCTTTTTATTGGCATCATTGTGATACTTGTGCAGAAACTCCAGTCACCTGACATTGGAGGCAATGAATCCAGCATTTATTTGTAAGTACAAATGAAGCAGTAATCAGCCGAGATTTCTAATATACACATAGGAAAAAATAAAAAGTAAAAAAGACATTGGAGTTAATTTGATTTTTAAAAGTCACTCAATCGATTTGGTTGATTTAGAATTTTTTGAAATCCAAAGTTCACCAAAGTGCACTTTAACACTGCCTTTAATCCTTTGTAAAAAGCTTAAGGGAGAAAAAAAAAAAAAACAACACCAAAAAACAGAAGAAAGAATAAATATTGAATTAAATATTAGTACTTATTATTTACAGATCAGTCATCTGTAAATTAACATACTGACCAGGCATAAGGATTATTACACTCACAGGACAGATTTTAGTGCTTCGTATGTTCCATAGGCACAGAGTTCACTGAAAGCAGTGAGATTTGGTGAAAAGATTTCAGGACCTGTAGTCTGAACTCTATTTTAGATCTCCTAAATTTGCTTATGCTCATGTCTGTGTTTCTGGTAACGCTGAATCTGTTCCAATTAAGCTAAATGATTCCCCACTTAGAACTGGTTAAAAATGAAAAAGAAATTTTGAAAGTTTTCCACTGCAAGATTTAGAACTGTATTAAAGCTTGTTTTAAAGCTCATATCCTTTTCTTCCACCTTATTATAGGGTTGAGGTTGGTCATTTGAGGCAGTTTCTGTTCCTATATTGAGTGCATGCAGCCGTATACAAAATTATTTTGGATGACTAGTGAATGGGGCAGCACTTTTGGTGTTTTCGTGGCTTCTCAGTCTAAACACCACAGACGTTTTCCACGCAGGTTTTTATGAGCTTGGACATTTTCCTTATATATAAGTAATATATTAAATTCATTCCTCAGATGCCTATTTACAGAACTAGCACTCAGGAGGAAGCGTAGTGAATACGTTGTCTCCCACATGTAGTTTCCCTGTGGTTTTCATGAAGACTTCCCATGTTGGGTGCTGCTGAGAGGTCAAATGCCAGACATTTAACTGTAATTAACACCCAAGATGTGCAGGGGTGATACTGATTAAGCACTGGAATAGGCTCCCCAGGGAGGTGGTTGAGTCATCATCTCTGTGTTTAAAAACCATTTGGACGTGGCGCTCAGGGACATGATTTAGCAGAGAGCTGTTAGAGTTAGGGTAGGATCGTTAGGTTGTGGTTGGACCGGATGATCTTTAAGGTCTTGTCCAACCTGAGCAATTCTGTGATTCTATGATTAAGACTTGCTGACTGCATGTTTGGTATCTGCTGCACATCATGCACGTATGGAGCAAAGCATGCCGCAAACTCCCGCGATTTTGATGAGATGATGAAACATCCTTATCATTCTTGATCAATATGGTGACTTTTACCGAGGTTTTTTTCCTATGTGTATAGTTAGCAACTAAAACCAAGAGAAAAACATCATATTTTCTGTTTCATTCGCTGCCATTATTTTTTCATATTTTTTTGCAACTTTCTAAATGGGTGCGTGTAAATCGATCTTGCATTTATGTATGTGCTATGAAGTGGAGTGTTGTTTATCCAAACAGACCCAACAACAAAGGTATCACACAGAAATGCAGTGAATAAGTCTATGCAGGTATACGCCAGGCATACGTTTTATCTGTGCATGCATCTCCTCTGGAAAGGGAGGAGAAAAGGACAAGGACAGCTCATAGAATGGTTATGTCACCATATTGAAATCTCTGCAGCATTTTAGACTGTCGTCCATAAATAAACATTTTCCATGTCCTATTTTGCTGTTCCATATTACTGACTGTTTAAAGCTCATTTTATTATCCCTGAAATATGCAAAATACAGATCGAGTATTTCCAGTCCTTTCCCAGTAGGCCGATAAACCTCAAACAAAATGCATGCTCATGGCTGTTTGTTTGAGCCTTATCTCCTCATGCTGATAGGCTGTTTTATGAATACTGCTTTTCTGTTCAAACCTGCCGAGTGAAATGGGAATGTTTCCCCATTCTCATCTTGAAATCACAGATATTATTTGCGTGGAGGAAAAGGCAAACACATAGAACTTTGTGGTAAAGTTCTCTTTCCAGCAGTATCTGGCTGAACACTACAGGCTTTGACAGAATCACTATCTTTATAATGAAAAAAATAAGAAAGCATAGTTCAATTTCCCATTCAATTCATCCCATCAGACCAAACTCTTAATCCAGACCTTTATTCCACGACATATTTAAGTACTTAGTTCAAAAGACTGATGAGCTGTGGTTAAGAAAGTGTGCTCAGCCCATTTCTGAAGGTGATAGCATGGAAAAACTACAGCAGTAACTGAAATTTGCTCTGGTGTCCATCTTCCACTCATTGGAACAGCCTTGTAGCCAAGGCTTCCATCACCACGACTGAGCCCAAGCAACTAGGAGAGTGCTTTTCACTGGATCCACCTTCATCCCCAGCTGTAAAGAATTTAAACCTTCTGCTGTTGTTTAATTTACACCATCAGACCTTGCACTGGTGGAGGTGAAAGATGCTGAAAGAATCTCTTGCTTTTCCTGGCAAGAACGAGAAACTGAAATCTCACACGATGTTTGCAGTGATTATGTGCTCAGCAGAGAAGAACTAGGCACATAACAAAACATTTTGCTGCAGCAGAGTCTTCAGATGCTTCGAATTCAAAAGACTATGTTGAAGTTTGACCCCTGGCTCCCCAGAAATTGCCATGGAAAATAATCCATGATCAGATTATGAGCAAATGCTACAGTGGTTAGAAGCCTCCCATGTTGTCTGTTATGCACCTGTAACTCAGGGACTTTGGCTTTCAAAAGCAAAGAAAGAAAAAGACTAAAAGAACACAATAATTTGGCTTTTGACTTCGGAGAAGATTAATTTTCTTCTTATGTATATGGCACATGCTTAGGTTCAGGCCCTCTTAGTGATCATTTTCTATGAGAAAAATCTGGATCCAGGTCCATTTTATAAACACTGTGGTCATAATTCTGCAAATGACTTAAGCGTGTATTTAACTTTACAAGCCTTTGGGATATGTTTAAATCCAAAGATTAATTATATATTGTTACCACTGTGCACTCCTAATTAAAAATTCCCACCACTGAAGTTAGCTGCGAGCTATGACAGGAACACAACAGAAGATCTCACTACCAGGGAACTCATGCTTAATTAATACAGTGTAGCCACCAGAGATGGCAAGCCTTGCTTTAAAAAATAATAATTTGTGTAATTCGCAGTGCTGTAATGAGCCCTTCATTCCCCTAAAAATTTGGTTTCTCTCTAAAAGCCTTCCTGATGATTATGATTATGATTATTACACGCATTAGCCTTTGCCTTTAGGCTGACAAAAACTTGGAAACGTAGTGAATTCCTAATGATCTTCTGCAGCAGTCAGATGCTCTAGCAATTGTAAACTTCCATTTGATATCAGCTTGTATGTTCAGTCATTCCTGAGCATCTCATGGCCATCCAATCCTCCATCACACGCCTTGTTCCCCTCTGAGCTGCCTGCATGCTGCTGAGCCCATTTCAGACTGAACAGCTCAAAATGTGTCCAACTATGGAAGAACTATAATTCAGTTCTTGTTTTTACTGAATTTTCTCGATATAAACTCCTCATTATGTTTGCAATGACTGGGGGTTAGATTTGTCAAAAATATGTAAGCAGCTGCAGTAGAACTTAGAAAATAGAAGTCACCATTTACAATTTTTTTTTTTTTACTTCAAGGATTCCTTTCCTCCAGCCATGAATTCCAAGCGTCGTTCATGTTTTCTCCCAGTAGTCAACATAATGTTTTGGTTTTTTTACCTTTCAATATTAGGAGTGAACAGCCAGCCTTAAAAAAGGACATATCTTTGTATCTTAGACCATGTTCTAATTTCAGTTAATCTTGTGTCAGTCCTGAATAATTCCACCAAATTAAGCATCAAAACAAGCAACAGGTTTTTGTCTGAGTGAGAAGGTCTGATATCCTCAGTTGCTTGAGAAGTAAATAGTGACACTGTTTGTATTCCTTGTCGAATTAAACAACTATCTTCATAGTCCAGGTGGATTTCTGGCCCCATTTGGTAAATGGGGCATAAAGAATTTGAATTTATTATAGTTACAATCATGTCATTGTTAATCCTGTACTACAAGGATCTTGGCTTTGTACCTGTATGTTCAACCCAGGTAGATTTTACGTAGTGTACTTTCAGAGAGAAACACAGCCTGAATTTTAGCCATATCCAGCTGCATACTTTGTAAGTATTTTGAAGAAGTAGTAAACGATTTAGGGACACTGAAAGCTAAGTAGCATTGCATCAGGTGTCAATAAGTCCAGTGTGCACTCACACTGGAAACACAGGGACTGGAAACACACAGTCACAGCCTTACACAACCTAGCTGGCTTAGCACATGGCGTGTCACATCAGCCCCTGTTGTGTGCGTGGATATTCAGTCCCCAAACCAGGATTTTAGGAAATAGTTAATAAGTGATTCTTCATTGTTTTTCCTGTGAGCCAGCAGTGTGCCGTATGGTCTGACAGAATCTGCTTTCGAGCATCCTAGTTTCAATCAAATTGTTGTAAAGTTCATTCATTCACCTCCCTGAAAGCCATATTCCATTAGAAATGCCTACACAAACTTGAATCCAGGAGCAAATGCATACATCCAAATGCACAGCTGCATTGTCGAAACCTTCACCATAGGCAGAAGATCCTCTAATGGCACTGATACCATAAACCCTTGCTGTAATTAAGTAGATATGCATGGTGTAGATGCATGCTGGAATAATCCTTAAGATTAAAAAGGCCCACACATTTCCATCAAGTCTTTGCTTATTTATCCATTTTCAAGTATCAAAGTACATTTGACCAGAAAAAAAATATATATATTTTTTCTTTCTTCTATTTTTGGTCTTGAATAGTATAACCTGGGAGGGGGAAGCTTGTTTCTGCTTTTGCTTTAACAGATTCTTCATCATAAATTTTGTATCACATGTTGAAAACTCTATGAGAAAGAAAATAAACCCCACATATACCTAGCTAATTCAGGTCTACGTCATTCCTCCAAT